TTATTATTATTATTATTATTATTATTATTATTATTATTATTATTATTATTCAGGTTATTGTTATTTGCTGATGTTCGCATTGTAAAACAATAATATCCAATAAATTGTACACTTATTTTGTTTCATTGCAAAAGATATTGGTAAAATTTGGAGAAACGTGCATTTGAAACTAAAGCCATTTAACGTGTTCTCTGTTGCACAAGTCTATATCGCTATGCATTCCATCATGAAATGCGCTCTAAACATCACGTGTGAAGATAAATTGCGTATAATTTGTAACGTTTCATCTATCGCACAAGACTACGAGAGTTAATATCGCTATGCATTCCATGACATGCGCTCTAAACATTACGTATAGATAGATGCGTATAATTTGTAAACATTTTGTCTTACCTTTTTATGCACCTGGAGATGAACATAAAATATGAGCCAGCGGTATAACAAAAATAAAATCAATGAAGTCCATGTTTACAACTACTAACTCAAAAATAATACTGTCCACGGCCAGTCACTTAAGCAAAAACAAGATTTGACAGAGATTCGCTGAACAAACATGGATCAATTTGCACTGTCGAATTAATTTATTTTTATCTACATGAGTACAGTACAGGGAATGGTGTGTTATGTTATTTCATGTAACTTGATGTAATCAAATTTCGTATCGTGTTGCTGCATATGTGAATGTAGTGGATTTATTACCACACTATAAGCCGAAAAACCAAAGGTACACAGCTTTGACAACAAAAAACATTTGATTGGGGTGACACAAACATTAAATGTAAATAAACATAACAACTATTACATTTACGTGTCTCGTTTCTGAAATGTGAAATTTACAAACTTAAGGATGTAGTAGAGGTTTTGTTCTTTGAGAATATCAAATTTCCACATTATCTTATAAGAAATATATAAAGCATGCATTCAACTAGTAATAAAAAAAACAATTGCAGTATTATAATATTGGGGTGGGTACATTCATGGGCTCGGTAAAATTTCTTATATTTATTATTTATTTATTTTCTTATTATTTATTATTTATTATTATTATATTTATTATAAGTGAACATATTTTCTTTTTAACTATCAAGAACAAAATGATACTCGTCTGCGATTGTGTTCAAATTACATATTAACTAGGGACCTGCAAATATCTGCCAGTTTTGATTTTTAATTTGTGTGCAGATACACTCGACGATTTGAGAATTAATACACAAATGATACTTATCAATGCGAAGTTTTAAACATTTTATATTGACTTTTCATAGTCACTCACGTCTTCTTGTCAGTTCTGGTAATCAAGCTTAAGCTAATTTTCAACCCCAAACAGATGTAACAAATGCTATCCGATCTATATATATTTATTTGTATATTTCTTAGCTGAACATTCCAAGTATTCATCTTCTTCTGAGGAAGTTTAACTTTAAGATAGCGCATATCAGGGTAATCTGCTAATTTCTGGTACTCGCTGACAAAGTTGGTGTTAATTTATGTTGTCCACATTAATGTATATTAATTAAGACAGTGACACTGTTAGTGTTTCCTGGATTAAGAATGTGTTGTGAATGAAAAACACTCTGAAACTCAAGATTGTTAAGTAGACACTTGTGTTGGTGAGCGGAAGTAATAATATATTATTATGTTCCTTATATATTATATGATGTAATGTCGAAAGCTCACAAATTCTGTTCTGATTCGACTCTCAGGTTTAAGTAGCGCCCTTTTTCGATGATGTGCTTCTGTGACGTAAGTGCTTGTTTTGTTTCATCCGAGGTCGTAATTTAACAGGAGGATTTAACTACACTCTAAAAGATCAACGACCACATATACACTCAACAACAACGTTCGTTTTCACTGGTCTACGTCATTCTGACGTCATAGAAACGTATAATCGTTAGAGGGCGCCCGACTTTGAGAAAGGAGTACTAGTATTGTTCTGGTCTGTTCATATTCTGGTCTGTTACATTATGATATGTATTGGATAGTTAATGATAAACTGATTAAGATGTGTTAGTGTATATTTAATAACGCCAATCGTTAATTTACCTGGTTCTTCGTCTACACTGTCTTCTCGACGGAACCTTTTTTTCGGTTTGGGAGTTGGATCATTGATTTTCAAAAACTGCCACAACTTTTCACTTTCTTTAGCCTTTTCGAAGTCTTCATAATCCTTGAGAAAGAAGATGTGTTTAAATACACCGTTCCTATAAAATCGCGCCCCTAGCGACTACGCGATTTTGATGTCACAGAGGCACTTTGTCGCTAGAGGGCGCGAGAAGCAGGAACAAGTTTATTTTTACATATTTATGTAAACGTTAGAAATATACAAAATTCATGTTGGACAATCCAAATTTAATAAAGGCGGTTTTGTTATTCAATCATTATTGAATTTACTTAGTAAATAAATCCCCAATGAGAAAAAAATCAAAGATGCAGACGACATAAAAAAAATCCCACAATTCAATGATGTCTCACTTCCTCTTCAATTAAGAAAGTAGATTGCCATTCATACGCTTTTCATTGAGCAGTTTTAACCAACGATTCAGCAAACTTTTGAAATTTCTATAACGTATCCCCCCCCTTAAAATGGCGCTTTCCCGCCTAAATTGTGCGTACGTATCGGTATGATTGACACATTTGGGGTCACAGTATGAGAGCTTCACTTTCACACCCGCTTCTTGTTTTCGTCACGTAAAAAAATATGCTTACTCCTAAATACTCGTCGTCTTTGAAGAACTGGGGAGGCTGTGGTTTCCCCTTTTTTGGCTTCTTAGTACACAGCTCCCACATTCCCTTCTTGATGTTTTCATCTACAGCAACATCAATCTTTTCATGGTCAACTCTGTTACCATCCAGAAGAAAATTCACGAGTTGTTGTCGTTTTCTAACCTGAAAAAATAATTAAGGATAAGTTAAAGCGCGGTGGTCGTCGCGCAGCGCGTGTTCGAATGTCATGTAAATAAACAATGTATTTTACATGCGTTGTATACGTCGCTATGAGTCCCATATCGAACAGGACGCGGCACGACGACTGCCACCCTTTAATACCAACAATACAAATGTTCGGACAATACACTGTGGATGACATGCATATGTTTACTGTCAGCTTTTCATCATATACTATAGACGATTTATATAGTTTATGTTTGTGATAATGCATGTTCGTATCAGTAATTCATTGCGCATGCGCATTTCCTAGTTCGCGAATAGGCGAACACACTTCGATTTACGATAATTCATAATTCAGATTATTTACTAATACACAAAATTGTAAGATCATACAAATAAATACAAACAGAACACTATAACACAGAATAATCCGTGGAATAAATAATGACGTCACCTTAAAAAAGATCCACATCATAAAAAAGAAAGATTTGTTATCAAATTGTATCATCTAAATTGTAATATGTAATGTAGATTATTTAAGATTATTATACTCATTTAATTTATTCAGGTCGTTTCATACCGAGATGCAATAAATGACCATCAGATAGGTGCACGTGGTAAATCATGTATGCCCGCGCCTTTCCGACTGAGGTAAACAAACATCCTTCGCACAACGGTACCGGAGGCGGCGGCACGAAATTTGGCATGAGGGGCGCGATTTGAAATCTAGACCCTCTGAAACGCTATTTCCTGCATTTTAAGGGGCAAATTTTGTTGACACAACGGGTTTCAGCTTGATGTTTCAACATTTATTCAGGTGAGCGACCGCCCCTTTACCCCTCCTGGTACCGCCGCCCCTGGTTACATACGTACAGATGTGCATCAAACAAGTCCACTTTCCAAAGCGGTAGATGGGTGACAATTGCCGTTTTAGACGATATTTCCCACTGAGCCTGAGAAGCACTTTGCCGCCAGAGGGCGCGGATCACTGTGATATTGTTAGAAACTTCTTTCTAAGGTTTATGCGTAAACAAACGTAATTACCGGTAATATTAGTTGGCATAGATTTGAAGATGTCATATGATCTAGAACATGTAATTTTAAATTGTTCAGTTTGATACTATATTTTGATGACTGCGATGGGATATGATGTATCGTGACTTGAAAACACTGTTCTGGTAGTATATATTTATATGCACTTATGCACTATGATTGTGTTGGAACTACACTAACAATCACTGCACATGTAATAGTGGTTTTTATTTTTCATCTATAACGAATACTTCTGCGCGTCCAGTCAACGCAGCATGCTTATGATAAAACTGGGGGATTGAACAAAAATCAGTTTGTGTCCATGATGCATATTTAAGTATATACTGATAGTAGTGTGGGTAATATCTCACGGCACCCACCGGTTACAATGGTATGATATTCTAATGTGAACAATGTTTACGATATTGATCGTTTTACTTATTAATCGTATATGGTTAGTTGTCAGAAGGGAAACAAATCGTATTACGAAATGTGGCTTACATGCGACAACAATTTGTTACATCGTTATACCGCATTAGTCTTGCGCTTCGTAACGGGTAATAGTTATATTATATTATTACAAACATCGAAACATTCCTGCAAAGTGCGACTGGCGAGTAAACGTCAAACATGTCGATTTATCATGCATAAACATAACACACTTCGTCATTTACAGCGATTTGAATAACGTAACAACTAACATATATTGTCTTGTTGCCAGGTTTAAATTGATTATCAAGTTATCAGTGGATTGGATTTGCATAAAACTTGTTTTTCAAGTCCAAATGAAATGTACACGTTAAACAACTTAATATATTCAAGTGACCGCCAGTGAACTCGAAACAACAACTTCATTTTTGCGGAGCAGATTTGAAATCCAGCAAGAAAAGAGCCAGACTTTCCACGAAATATGGAAATGTTCGCGTGTAACAACGACCTGTATTATGTTAAAACACAGGAAGTAGAAATATCATGTAAGTCGCCCATCTCAAAAAGGCGAAGGATAAAAACAATCGTCAGCCAGTGAGTTATTGGGGATGAATTGTTTTGCGCATGCGTCTTGCTGAACCTCGCCAGGAATGTGAAAGTTGACAAGGACGAGCGTGATCACTTCAACTTTGCGATGTAAAATAACACCGTGATAGCACTAGCGCACTCGGGTCGAGATATATTGATGGGGCCAGCTATGGGAATTACAACTCCGCCGTATTGTCATCTGTTTTGCGAACTGAACTAACTGTTTACAAGACGATGCGACCTGCGTTAATGTGTAGGACCAATACCGTGACGGCGAAACAAATACACCGGAAAATATCGAAAATCAACCAGTGTGTAAATTATAAGTGTCACTGACATTTCGACGTCGCTTAAAAATACACACTGGTTAAATTCCACGAGAAAATGACTTATATTTTTCGAATAAACTAATGGATTACGTAATAACTGCCAAAACTCGCCCGTCACTGCCTCAGAAAGGCAACACTGTGAACGTGCACGCGATGTATATTTTACAGTCATGATATAATAATAATCATAATAATTATTAAAATAATATCTCCCAGAGAAAATAACAATGCTGCGCAATATATGCGAGAGAAAAAATAAAGAAAGTTCAACAAGAACTCTATTATCAAGAAAGTTGTTGTATTTGGAACACTGTGTCAATTTGAGTAGTTAATGTATACCTCACACAAAGGCGCCGTCCAACAATTATGGAGACGGGAATAATACATTGGACATTATTATACATTGCAAACATTCTATAAGAACACGAAACAAGTCTACACAAACAAAACACACATACAAACTCTGTTCTTGCGATGGGTTATCGCTGTAAAGATAGTTTGGGGCCCACTTAATACCGCGACTATGTTTGAGGAAAGGAATATATAAGGAAACAAAGATCACAAATATGGGTTATTGCTAGATTTTTGCGGCATAAATACGACAGTATTCTGTATATACTGTATATATTTGTCTTCGTTGCAGTGACGGGGATAATGATACGTATATGGCCAACAATGAACATAATGACGAGACATTTAAATTATTTGAACACACAACGAACAATGGCTCCCTTTCTGGAAAGATGAGATTAGAATATATAAAATCTCCCCAATTTTTTTAATGGTTTCCACATACCTCGCTTGAGCATGAAATACTGGTTACATAGACCTTGATTCCCATGGTTACGCTCGACGTATTGACTCTAAAATGCTCAGAAATATACCAGTCATAAAAAAAAACTTGTAAGACTTTCCTTCTCGGAGGCTCTTCGTCAAATACTGGGTCAAAGGTCGGACACTCGTAGTTAACGCGTTGTTGGTTAGATACAGCACGGTTCCATGGGGCAAATTACTCACGAGCGCTGTTAACAATGTTTTCTTTTGGGAGTTTCTTTTTGTGTCGGTCGTTTGCATTGCAAATCATGAGTGACAATTTACAGGAGAATAGTGAGTTGTACAATAAAGTCTGACACTGCGCGTTTCCGTGATTTTAGACATTTTCTAAATCGTTACATAGAAAAGTGTTATAAATCGCATAAAATCGATCTAATACAAATAATAACAAAAATAACTTCAAATATACGCACAACCATTAATAATGAAAAACAAAAACAGATAACCTTATGCTCGCAAACATTCACAATACATTTTTTTTACTTTTAAGAAATATACGACAAACCAACAAAATTATGAAATTCATTGCATTCAAAGGTGTGTGCGGCTGATGTACAGAAACTGTGAAATAACATTTGGCTGAACTGTTGCCATGGTAAAAACACTTTAGATTGGTAGTTATCTTGTCAAACTATGTAAGAGATACACTCATAATATTGTATGTATTATTAACATATGTTCAGGGGACGGTGTGTACCGATATGGTCGTGGAGTAAGTACCTAGCCAAATTGAAATTCTGGCCCAAAATAAGACGCTCATATAGTATTAAAGGCCGGTAGTCGCGCCGCGCATGTGCGACATTTGTGTAGATAAACATTAATTTTCCCATAATCCAATGCGCTTTTCTAATTAAATCACGAGCCAGAGTATGAGTTTTGCCCTGGGTGCCACTCTTACTAATTACAGTCGACGACTCCCTCGATACCTTCCAAAGACCAGCAAAAATACCCAATTGAAGCTAGGGAACCTCTCAGTACTCGTTGGTGTGCACAACATACATAATCGCCATATTTTTTTATATGCGCGGCGCGACAACAACCGCCTTTTAAAATAATTCAAATTACTCGGAACTTACCCCGAAAGGTTGATATCAATACTAACTTGCTTATTGGAGGTTGATGAAATTCGACATCGAAGAACACGGATTTAGAACTTGAATTACTGTAAAAGGGTTAATTATTCACTGGGTTTTAACTTTGCTTATTTCGCGTACTGGAAAATGCGCTAAATTAAAACCCAGTGAATATGTAAAATTGAGCATAGAACACGTTATCTAAATGATAAAACAGTGAATTTAAAACCCTCTGAATATGCCTGAAATGGAAAATCAGCAAAATTTGAACCCAACGAAAATTAATCATTTTACAGTACAAAAAAAAACAAAAACAGTAGAGTGTCATGTCTGAGATCTTGAAAGTCTGATAACAAAAAATGAAATGAATTCATTTTAGCTTACAGTAATAATTAGTAATCAATCAACATTTATAAAACTGGCATACTGGTGTAGTTATCGGAGGGGACAAAACCGACTGGGGATAGTATACGACAGCTAAACAGCGCCAACTACGTCCCGTGTGCAATGAGCCGTTGTCGAAAGGAAAAACAACATTTTGTTTTCAGTAGATTACTCTAAATCAAGAAACAATCTGTTCAAAGATAATGTACATAAATAAATTTTAAAAACATACTAAAAACATCAAAACTAATTGTTTGCCAAAATAATCAAAACTTATCAATTCTTTTCAAATGTATGAAATAATTTGTTACAACTAATCTAACTACCTAATTCTAGAATTGTTAAACGTGTATATAGATATACGTACAATATGAATGCAAATGAAAGCAATTCAGAAAATATTACACGAACCTTCAGATTTGGTACAATTTGGTTAGTAAAGAAGGTTATAGATGCTAATATTTCCCTGGCAGAATCCAAATAACGTGCAACTCAAAAGGCTGCTTTGCTATGAGCATGATTTGTACTACGAACTATGTGCCATTAATAAACTTAGTTCGTATTGTAATTTCAAGAGTCTGTTAAAGCCTGAAAAATACTTGTTTCAGATTTTATACATATGCATACACTGGCATGATTTTGCTATTCTAACCATACATTGTGCATTGAACAGAGGCGCCTTTTTGCTTGATTTCGAAAGGTAGTTTATTCCACGATCTCGGAACAGTATTTGCAAAGGTTTAAAGGATGGTAGTCGTCGCGCCACGCATGCGCGAGATATGTGTGTGTCATCACAGTCCCTCAATGTGTGGAGGGACTGTGGTCTCATATAAACAAAGATGGCGACGTTGGTCGTTGCGCAGATCAACAAGTACAGACTGAGACGTAGCCAAGCTTTAATTATTTTTTAGGTGATTGGAAGGTAACGAAAGAGTCACCAGTGGTAATTAGTGCAAGTCGAGCCCAGGTCAAACCACATACTCGTGATTTTCATTAGAAGAGCGCATTGAATTGTGAGAAAATCAATGTTTATCAACATAAATGTCGCACATGCGCGGCCCGACGACTACCGCCCTTTAATTTAGAGAATTGACTGTGATCTTGAACAGATATTACGTATTTGCTCATATATGTTAAGGAGACCAGACAAGGCATGTATGAGTGAGTCCACGAAGTGCCTTGTATGAGAGGAAAGTATTCTCTCAGTGTTGTCGGATACGGGAAGCCAGTGTTGCTTTAGAAATGAGATCGAATTTTCTTGTTCAAGTTGGTGATGAGACGAACTGCATTCTTCTGCAGTATGAGACCTGTACATTGTCATCTATCGGAGTTTAATTGTAGTATGAGACCTGTACATTGTCATCTATCGGAGTTTTATTGTAGTATGAGACCTGTACATTGTCATCTATCGGAGTTTTATTGTAGTATGAGACCTGTACATTGTCATCTATGGGAGTTAAATTGTAGTATGAGACCTGTACATTGTCATCTATCGGAGTTTAATTGTAGTATGACACCTGTACATTGCCATCTATGAGAAGTTTAATTGTAGTATGAGACCTGTACATTGTCATCTATCGGAGTTTTATTGTAGTATGAGACCTGTACATAGTCATCTATCGGAGTTTAATTGTAGTATGAGACCTGTACATTGTCATCCATATGGAGTTTAATTGTAATATGATGCCTGTATATTGTCATCTATATAGAGTTTAATTGTAGTGTGGGACCTGTACATTGTCATCTATAGAGAGTTAAATTGTAATATGAGACCTGTATATTGTCATCTATGGGGAGTTTAATTGCAGTACTAGACCTGTACATTGTCATCTATAAAGAGTTTAATTGTAGTACGAAACATGTACATTGTCATCTATGGGGAGTTTAATTGTAGTACGAGACCTGTACATTGTCATCTATGGGGAGTTTAATTGCAGTACT